AAGTAAAGCACAGAGAAAATAATTAACAATACACTATGATTATATAGTTGAAAATTGCTAGGAAAATAGATCCTGAATGTTCTCACCACAAAAATACGAATGGTAACCATGTGACATAATGGAGGTGTTCCCTAAAGCTATGGTGGTCCCATACTTTACTTTGCAATATGTATCAAATGAATTCCTTGTCCACCTTAATCTTATACAAGGTTATGTACCTCAATAAAGCTGAAATGAAAAAAATTTAAAAGACAACTCCTCCTTCCACCCCAAACGTGGCCCTCCTCCAATATGTCCCACCAATTCAGGGAAGATCACCATCTACCAACCTTCAACTCCCCTGGCCCCTCAGTGCCAGCATCTCACCCACCAAGCTCTGCTCTGTTCCCTTCAAACTGTCCACATTGCTAGCAACTTCACATGAGGCAAACAATCGTGTTTGCTTATCGTTTCCCACCATGGTTAGGATTAGACACCAAATCCTTACCATATCCTGCCCCAGGCCACTCTCCCTGGGCCCTCACCACCTGCACCCACAGCTGGCTTTCTGTTTCTCTCACAAACAAGCTCTTTTTCTTACATGTTTTTCCTTCTACCTGGAATGCTCTCCCACCCTGTCTCCCATACCTTCACCTACAATCAACCCTTCACATCTCATCTTAAATGCTATTTCCTCAGGGGGATATCCAGGCCTCTCATCCTCACCGGCTTCTCAGTGGAAATTCCACCTCCCTGTTCCCACCCTCATGGGTCCTGATCTCCTCATGACACCTGGCCCAGGGCCTCCCCCACAACACAGGTAGGATCTGAGACAGTTTGTTGGGCCTCAGCATCTAGCACTCAGCCGCCCAGCAGCACCAACTCCCCACAGGTGTCTGGCCAAGTCAAGTAACCCATCAAAAATATTCACCTGATTTAATAACCAAAAGGATAAGTTCAAAGTAGTTTTTTTGTTATTCATTCCAAATAGATGCCCCTACCCATCCCAAACTCTTCAGATAGAAAAAGTTGAAGGCTCGTGGTGTCCTCAAAGTCCACTTGGAAAATGCTCAGCTAAGACAGCCTGTCAGAAATTCTACACACCACGCGACATTTCCTAAGAGCTTTCTGTTCGCTTTTTATATTTAAGCACTAACAACAGAAAAGTCCACCATGGCAGTCTGGCTGGCTTTATTACTTGGGATTCTGGCTGTCTTATCCCACATCTCCAAGTTATGACACAACAAAACACACCAAAGACCAAGACCTACTACAAATCCACCCCAAGGTAACATTCCACATCAACTTCAAAAGGAAACCCCCAAGATAAAATGGTAAGAACTTCTGAAGCTTTTTGCCATTTTGTTAAGACATACTCTACACCAAAATACCACCGTTTTTGGTACAGAATCTTTTCTTGCCGGGTACAAAGGAAGTTAAATGAAAGTCTTTGTCAGGAAAGATACCAGGGGTGGGGTCCAGGGAACAGGTCCTAATCCCTCAGCTTACCAACCACCACTTAGCATGCCCCAGCTGCTCCAAACTGGTTTCGTAAGAGGGGAAAGAAGAGCAAAGGAGTAAGAATACAAATGTTTAAAATACCACAGAGGAGGAAACATGAATATCTATGTGAACTTAGAAGAAGCCAATGGACTTCTGGGGGTTGTGGGAGGAAATAAGGGGGAGAAGAAGGGAGAAAAGGATTTGTTGTGTAAGTTCCTAATTTTTTGGCCATTTGGAAAAAAATCAAGACATCATTCTTGGAAATAATTTCCTCTCTCTTCTGAACATAGATTAGTAGCTCTGGGTTATAATAAATTGATATTGCATCAGTTACAGGAACTAAAGTATGTGGGACCTGTCTTCATTTAAATATGATTTAATCAACTGAACTGCACTTGTTAAGAGCATTTATTCCATTTTTTATAATGCGCTAACCCACATGCCACATGGGGGGAAAAAAAAACCAATCAGATTAAAATATTTCAACAAAACGCTTTAAATTCCCATGTGAAATTTCTGCCCCAAAGGAGCACCAGAGAAAATTCTTTTCCTGGCAACCTGTGATACTTAAGAGTCTAATGGTACTAGCAAATACTGAACACTTCTCTATTTTAAAAATAAAACATCAGAAATAATTATGAAACAGCTTGGCCTCCAAATGATAATAAATCCAAAGTTCAGAGAAATTAGGAAGCAACCCTTAGACAATTATTTTGAAACATGTCTGATGAAACACTGTGATGTTACAAGGTTTTATTTAAAAGAACGGAAAACAAAATGTAAAAGGGGGGGGGGCCGCGTCTGGAGAACAGTTAGCATTCGCCGGTGAATCTGAACGAGAGCCACACAGGCTTCTCTGACCAGTGCTGAGCTGGACAAAGATGCCAGTGACAACGCGTGTGATGCAAAAAGCTCACTTTACCAATACAGACGCGCTTCACCTGCAAGGATGGTGTCTGGTCAATGTGTCGCCTTAGTCCAGGGAAAAGGAAAGTATCAATTTACAATGCCAACCTGTGTGACTCCAGGGTCCCCAAAACTGTGTGTGAACAGATGAGCCAAGAGTCTTTCTTCTCCCCTACTTTCCCACCTCCCTCCACTAACTGACCAGCCCCAGCAACCCTCCTTGTCCTGGCATCAGAGCACAGAAATGCACAACCAGTGAGCTGACTCAGACCGAAGACACCATTCAGCTGCCACGAGCCTGAAGCATTTCATGAACTCGGTTTCCCTGAGTTCAAGCTTAAGGCTCTTCTCTCTCCAGCTCCCAGAGCAACAGCATTCCCCAGGTCCTGGGGAACAGGGCAGAAAGCACAAAAGAGGAAAACACAGCTGCCAGCTGTGGCACCTTTGGACGAGGGGCCCCATCTAAAGGCTTGTGGTGTGCCCCAACGTGGTGGCTATGGTAAACATGCCACTTTCTAATAAACAGCAAAGAAAACAAAACTTCAGACCCTTTGCTCCTCCTTTGGCCAAACTCCAGAATGGCGCTGCAAAAATGACGTACCACCTCCAAAATCAGGTGCTTAGGGCCTAAACTGTGGCAACTATTCTTGTGGGCTCCTTTCTGTCTCTGAATGCACACCCCTGCACTCCCACACGGAGGTGATGCTCACCTGCACGGGGGCCTGAACCTGCAAGCCACACCCACAAGTGGGCCACTCTGATCTCTTCTAAGACCCTCATCTCTCATAAGACCCTCACAGTCAGAGGAAGTAAAAGTCTCCAGCAGATTTTAAAGGTAACATCCTTTCCCTGAAGCTGAAAAAAAATTATTTAATGTGGTCAGCCCTGCCAAGCATTTCCAAATCAGAGAAACAAATTTCAAAGCCCAGACCCACATTGGGAAACTCAGAGGGAGAAAAGTGAACCAGACAGGCTTCCTCATTTTACTCTCGAGGACTCTGAAGCGAACATGTTTTTAAAAATGTCTGTCTATTGTTAAAACACTTTCACTGTGTGGCATCCACTTTTTTAAGAGAAAACTGCATGAGCCACAAGCCAACCTAGTCTACACCATGACCCAATTGTTAGTACACGAAACAGAACCAGCCACGGGGAGTTCCCTTCTACTCCCTGGGGCACAAATATGTCAACCAGGCCCGAGAAAGGGACAGAGAAGTGGGTCCAGTCCTTGCTCTGTCACTACGCGGTGTGTGACATTGGGCAGTTCACGGCACACATATCTGGGCCTGTTTCCTTTGGGCCTTGATGCTCTAAGGTCACTTCAGCCCTGAAATCTTTACATCGCAAGAGCATGTGTCATTATGAGCATCCAGTTTATTGTGGCGTTGGAGAATGGGGAAGCTTCTGGAAAATGTCAGCATCTTTCTATCTGCCTCATTTATAACGTAAGAATTTATCAGACGTTTTCACAAATGATGATTCAAGATGTGGTTTCACGAAAATCAATTCTGTGATCTCTACACACACATAGATGTGTTTAATAATCATGTAACAGAGGCATAATTCATTAAATAAATATATAGTCAATTACAGCAAGCTACAAAATAAGGAGGCAGTTGCCTGAAATTTGACACAGTCTATCTTAAGGAGGTTTCTACTTAAGAAAATCATTTTGCCAACTTTAGAAATTGCAAGGAGCATAGAGGCAAAATACATTAAAAGCATAACATTTTGTGATACTTAAAATACGTGAATGGTTTCATGCTTTGCATAATTCTACCTGTCACACATTCATTATGAAAATATGTCTTCCATAAACTATTTCAAAACTAGGAAGTCCAGCTCATGATACAAATATACAGGCAGACTATTCTAATAAGGCTAAGTTATCTTCTCAAGAGGTTAATTTATAAATTCTATTTTCAGAGCCTACCAAATCCTAAGAAAGTGTATTAAAAATAAATGTAGACACACACTATGTTGTAGTCTCATAGTACTAAAAACAAATGTTTCCTTTATTAAACCCACACGCTTTCAAATCCTTGCAAAGCTTAAATTTAAGCATTCCACATTCATTTCCTACTCTAGGTTTACAATCAATCAGCCCAGATGAAAATTTTTGGATGTCAGTGTAGAAAGTTACTTTCCAACACTTCAGAAAACTTGGGCGTACAGTGGGTATTGGTAAGTCTCGAGTCCAATTCTTCCCTTTTGCATTTTCTACTCCTCTCTTTTACAACTCCCCTTCCCTGAGTGAGGTCTTCAGGAAAGGGTTTGGGCCTTATATTATTTTAGATTGCTTCAATACCATTTCCTGTCTCCCCAAACCACGGTGATTGTACCCTAGGAACTGAAGCCCCAAAGGCTACGCTCTAACCCAGTACTGGGGAGACACTGGTGAGAAGGGCTGGGAAATTTCCAGGTAAGTTACAACCACTAAGGTTCAAGGACAGAAAACAAGCAGCTCACAGATATAAACCATATCCAAGAATATTCCCCCAAATAATACTTTTAAAAAAGAAAAACTGATAAACAAGGCCTGTTATCAACAAAAGAGGATTTTCTTCACCTCTCCCCACTCCCCCCTAAAAAGGCAGCAACTGGTCACTCACGACAATGTGTGCTGGGGATGGAGATCGGGCATCCTTGAGGGCCTGTCTGCTCTGGAGGGTCCCCGCCTGGACATCAAGTAGTGGCCATTTCATCTGGAGATACTGGAGGAAGCAAAACGAACATGGAGAACAATGAATTTAAAAAACAAATGTAAACAGCTAGCCCAAGAGTCATCAGAAACTGAAATCACAGGTTGGCTTCAGATCTCAGAGGGGAGCAAGAAGAAGGGGTGGGAAGGGAGAAGGGAGGGAACGCAGCCAGAAGGAGTTTCACAAAGGGGGTGTCCTAAGACGTGTAGGTGGGTCCCCACGACTGGGAAGTAACAGTAAGATGAGCACAGGAGAACCATCCATTCTGAAACTGCTCTTTCAGCGACCTTCACTTCTAAACGCCACCCTCCTTCGGTTTCAAGCAAGCTGGCAGCTGTACAAGAGCAACTGTCCTCCAGTAGAAGCTAGGAGAAAGATGGAACTCCTCACCCAAGCCTCATGCTTACCAAACAAAAACATTCCTTGGTAGAAGATGCCCAAACAAGTCGCAGTGCCCTTCTGACACCCATCTCGAAGGCCAGAAGAATCCTTAAATGTGCACGGGTTTAACACAGAGATGGACTCAAAGGTTCAAGCCCATTTGCTAACCTCAGCTTGAGGTTAGAAGATAAACCATGGCACAAGGGAAGAAAAGGAACGGTTTCTAGAAAAACTCTCAGAGGGACTTGATCTGTCAAACGATCAGCTCCCCAGTGTGCAGAGAAGGGAAACTGAGGTAGCATGGCTTGCCCACTCTCAGGGGTGTCCAACAGATGCACATGCAGCCCCTTCAAATCTGACTTTGGCGACATCAACCAGTTTCACTCAGGAAATCTTCCGACAACCTAAGGAAACTTAGACACAGTAAGGATTCAGAAGGCGGGCTTTCCAACTCTGAAGACAACTGATTCAAGCACCAGGTAACCCTGAAGGGTATGTAAGAAGCCATCTTGGTCTTTTCAAGGAGCTAAAGCAAAGTAAATGACTAGTTTTATTGTTAAGTCTACAGAAAACTTTACTTAGTGAACACTGATTAGAGGTTGTGTGGGCACTGCCTTCTTGGAGATACAAAGATTCTTCCCCAGGGAGCTTCTACACATGTCAGAGCCAACCCACCCAGTAAGTCAGGCTAGAATGTGGTGAGACTGTGGCAGAGACTCAGAGAGCTGTGCCTGGGGAATGCAAAGAAAGAGAAGGCATTTCTGAGAAAGAGCACAGGAAGGCATTACGTCAGAAAAAAAAATTCTTTTAAAGATTTATTTATTTATGCATACAAGAGCTGGGGTACAGGCCAGAGATGCAAAGGGGTGAGATGATTCACCAGAGACAGAGTGGGGAGCAGAACAGGCAGACTGACTGAAATACACTGCTGAGGGGAGTAGCAGGCGAGACAGAGAGGTCTGCTGCGCCATGTGGGTTTCTCCCTGGCCAGCCAGGGATCGAACTCATGCTGCAGAGGCTACAGATTGCTTCATAGTGCGGTGCTTAGCCCCTTGCGCTAACAGAGAGGCCCAAGTCAGAAAGATTTCAACAGAAATAAAAACAATAGCAATGGGCAGTCCAGAAAGGAGAAAGGGTTTGCTCAAAGCCCGTGTGAGACGGAAGGGCGGAGCCATCCAAAAGCTTGTCCACAGGTTCCTCAAAGATGCAGCTGTGCCCAGGAGTCACAACCAAGCTCAGCTCTCCCTAAGCTGGAGAAGCCAGGCCTGGGAGCTACTTGCAAAGTTCTCAATCATTTTCCCAACCTGGATCTGTGCCAAGTTGGAGCAACTTCTGGACTTCAGAGCTTTTACCCAGAAGCTTCCTGTGGTGAGCAAACCTAGTTGCCAGTTCTGGTAACTCACCACAAGCTCCTGCAACAAATCCTTGACTTCTATGAATCTTTAATTTCTTATCCGTAAACTGAGGGGGTTGCCTTCCCTGGGATGGAGTGTGTCTAAACCAGTATCCCAAGTACCAAAGGGGTCCTTGGATTCTGGAACCCAAAAGGTAACATCAGTGGTCACCCAAGAGTCACCCCTATGACCATCCATTTCCAAATACCTCCTTCAGGAACAACAGCATCCCAAAGTAAGTGTCAGCCAGTGAAGGGTCCATGACCCCCATCCCCAACCTATGACCCAAGCTTCGGGAACTATCTGCCCTGTGCCACCCTTGGCTTCTTCCCATCCTCATCTGTCATATAAATATATGGGCCATGTTGGTCAAAACCACTCAATACAATCCCTGCCTTGAGCCAACCAAAATGGACACCTGCCAAGGACCATCTCTCCCTCTCACAAAAACCTAGAGAAAAACACCAAGCCGAGGTGCCACACACGCCACCTCACACTACCTTCAGTGTTGAGGGCTGGATTGATAGACAAGGTTTCATCTCTAACCACCTGCAAAACTGATTTGATGGTGTCCAAATTCCAGCTCCCCAGAATTAGGAAATTTGGGCTTTGTTTAAAGTGACAGACCTGCCCCGAGGACCCCACCCAAGAACTGTCATACCCATAATGTAATATTAACGCAGAGCCTTGTAATTCTTACTTTACATAAAAGCTTCATTGTGTGCCATACCCAATCTCCGCAGGCTACCTGCACCGCATATTTTTATGAGCCTACATTTCAGCGCTCCGAGCCTACAATACACATAATTTTCAATTATGTTAGGGCAGCCCAGGATCACTGCCTATATAACATTACTGGATGGAGGAAATGAGACTCGGCCTCGCTGCCCAGAGAGAGCTAACCAAGTCCAGATGGCGGAGGAAGATCGCCAGGGCCCCAACTTGCCGGGACTCCAAAGGTGATGGCCTAGCCTGTCCTTCGCGATGCAACCTGACCCCAGGGAACAGCCCCCACAAATCCATGCCCATCCCGTGGATCTGGATGGGCATGCAGGCTGCCGAGGCTCCTTTTGGGGAAATAAGGATTATGTCAGGATTTTTTAAAGGAAGTTATTAACCTCCTGCAAAAGTGATAGGTTTCCCAGGTTCCTTCATCTTTAACAATTGGTCCTTATTAATAGGGAAAATAAATAAATAAAGGGAAGAAAAAGGAAATTAGGTCCTATTAGAGCCTAGAGGAAAATCTTTTCCTTCCTGGAGACATTCAGCAGCAGGAAATTCTATTCTGTTGGATCTGAAAGGAAGACCTGAAGAAAGAGGCAGCTCAGATTTACCAACAGGCCAGGACGCCAGGCCACCTCTTCCCGACAGTTCAATGTCGGTTTTGGATCCTTTTAGGGAAGGGCAAGTAAGTTCCCACCATCCCGCTATAAAAACAACACTGGGCTCCGCTCTCTTCCTCCTAGGCTGCTCAATGTGGAAATTATGAATTGCCTACAAAAACATTCAACTTTTCAACAAACTGCAATCAAGTGGAGCTGTGGGAATTCCTGCATTGAAAACTGTTGAAATGGAGTCCACTTGACTTTCCTTTTCTACAAATAATAATAACAATAAATTATAATGCCATCTTGGTCTAAGTGTTTCACCCTTTGTTTAATAATAGCGTTCTGCTCATGGCCCATTAGGGTTTTCCCCCCAATTGTATTTTTTGATAAGACTCAGGGAGCATAAGTTAAGCTTTGGAGCTGTGGGCGTACACCTATGGCCTAAAGAGACGGTTTCAAAGTCAGTTAAATTGTCAACAAAAAAGGAAAGGGTTCGCATCTCTAATTTCTCCTCCTTCATCGACCCTGTTATCAAAAAGCAGGGGGCAGGTGGGTGCCAGCCTGCGGGCTGTAGTTTGCCATCCCTGGCTTGGATGTTTCCAGCAACCTGAGGACCAGGCCACAGGAGTGCGTGTCCTTCCCTCACTGGGCCTCACATCCAGACGGCCAAACACAATCCCATGGGGAAGCATGTCTGAGGGCCTAAAGCCACCATTTTGGGATTGAATGGTCACTGGCAGACTCCAGCTTTGGGGGGAAAGCTTGGAAAAGGATGTGAGCGCTTTGGTTGTGGGTTCCAGTCACAAGGTCTAACCACCTGACCACAATCTCCCAGAAATAATTACCCCTTCTTTCCAAAATGGAAGTTAGAAAATCCCTGAGCAATTCTGACTGGAAAAGGTCCACATGTTTTATAGCTCTCACCCATTTCCCAGGAGGCCCCGGCAGTATGTCCCATGTCACCAAGTCACCCCCAAACGCGCCCCAGGCAGACAGTCCTCAGGTCATGGGGGAAGAACCCCATGTGCCCGGGGTCCACGTTCTGGGTCCAGAAGTCTTGTCATGTACCATTTCCACACATAGGGAGGCCAGAACAGAGCCCAGAGGGCCAGCTCCACCTCCCACAAACAGACAGCATTAGCCACAGGCTCAGGAGAAAGGGGAGTTTGGGGCAGGCAGAGGTGTTCCGGGGGGTGCCAAACAGACTGTTGGGTAGAGATGCTATCCATCCCTTCTGGAAAACAAGGGTTTTCAGGAAGGCAAGCATGCGGAAAAGGGCTGATTTTAAGTTTTAACTTCCCTGCCTTTACCAAAATCCAAACAACAAAGACCGTCTTTTCAATCCAAGCTCTTTCTCAGTAGGGTGCCTTTCCCTAGGAAAATTCATTTTACAAGAATTCCAATTAGTTGGATCCCATCCTCCTGATAGATTCTGACTGCTACGTCTTCCCAGCTCACGAGTGCCAGAAAGTTGTACACGTTGTGTTTCTTATAAAACGGAAAGTCGATACTCTGCCCAAGGCTCCAGACTGAGGCCCCTGCCAGCCACGGTCTAGCACATCCCAAGTCCTGATTTCCTCGAGGCGACTTGTGCAGATTCGTCAGGGGCCAAGCAACACCAGCACAAACAGGGCAGAGCCAGGATTACGGCGTTCATGTCACTGGACTTGACAAAAGAGTCGGCCACCAGCTGCCACTAGTCCTGAGAGGAACTTAAAGCACAAGCAGGATGCCAAGAGCACACCCATTTCTCAGGAGGCACACCCCTCCCCTCCCGCCCCCACACTCACAGGTCTGTTACAGCACAGCCCTGGCTGCCTCCTTCTGTACCGACTTTATTTCTCAGAAACAGAAGACAGAAAATTCAGTCCTACAAAGAAGTCATTTTGTCCCGGAGCGCCAGGGGATC